TATGGTATTGAGGTCATACTTGAATTCATAAAACAAAAAACGTAAAATTCAATAAAAATTCAATAATCATATAAAATATTTTATTTACAAAATGATAACCACAAACGAATTCACCAAACCTTCATAAAAAAACATAATACTACATATTTTGTATGTACCTTGTACCTCTTGTACCATATACCTACATACACATATGTTTATAAAAACGTTCATATTATAATCAGGAATTATAGGGAAAAATACGAAGAGCCTTCGAATATTATATTATATTCTGTATTGGTGCGATAACGAATTCGGAATTTGTCGAGGATTTATACACGTATATTAGAAATACATTTCGATCAAGTTTCGTCTAATAATTCTCACCTGTAGCTTACCCCTGGCTGGAGGACACCGGAATCGACCCGTAGTTGTAATAATAACATCTGGTCTGTTCGCAAATGAAGTCTTTCAGGTCAGTACAGTCAGTCGTTACCCAGTCCATGTTGGGCGCTTTGATTGCGACGCATCCGTCCCTGGAACCACTTTCGCCCCTAAAAATAGCGCAAAACGGTATTCATTATAATTTGTGTATTATTGTCACATCAGTATTTTTGTAACATATTTCAGMATATCGCTGGTGGCAACCGGTATGAATATATTAATTTAACTTGACCACGATATCGTACCTCTTTTTCCTAGCAATGGGCAGTTCCGGCCTAGCGTTCATTTTTAAGTCTTCGTTGTCCAGACCGTTGTTGTCCKGGTTTGGACGTTTCATTTGGCTAAAGGTCGTGTTGAACGGCAGACCTGTAGACATCCAGATAAGCATATCGGTGCCCAAGCGGTTTCCAGATGTCCAATAGTCGAATTTGTTGTAACCTTAAAATAATAACAATAAAAAACCTTGTTTTTACTAATTCATCGGACAGTTTCTATATTTTGATGTTTCATTCAYTCGTTTATTTTTTTCACACGCGATTGTCATTGTCTCTTGTTTACCATAGAGTTTCATTCGGAGTATAGGTAGGTAACGAGTGAAATTTAATTTTCATTTATATGATTCATTTTTAAACTATAGTTTGCGATACAGTGTGTATAGTTT